CTGGGCGGGAAGGCTGAAACAGAAGCAGCTTCAGTCAGAAAAACATCCGTCTGTGTGCATATACAGTCTTAACCAGTCTGGGACAAGCAAACGGCTGCTGCTCTACAGAAACAAGCTCCGGAAACAAGGACTCACCTGCACACAGAAGCAGAAGGAAGACCAGGTGATGCATGACGAGTCGCTGACCACTGACCACTGACCTGCTGCCAGAGCTGCCTCACCGGCTTTTAAAGGCCTCCCAGCACAGATCCATCAAACTCATGCAAACTTCCAGCTCCTATCAGATTTCAGTTTCACAATGAAGACATATCCCATAAAATTTAACGAGAAAGTCTGTGACTGTTTAACCAGCGTTTCAGCACATTTGACTGGAAGCTGCTTTAAACCGTCACTTCTGAGAGTCTGATGCACAGAGAGCAGCTCAGAGGAAGCAAAGCTGCTGTTCCTGAGGTTCTGGTTTAGTTTTTGGTCTTTAGAGGGGGTCACAGCTTTTCCAGCCTCATGTTTGCATAAAAATGTGCATGTTTTCATCATGTTGGTCTGTTATGCGTTCCAAAAACGCACTTTTTTTAAAGAAAAACTGTCAGAGAATATTCCAGATGTGAGAAAATGCTGATTCCACATCAGCAAAATGAACAAATCTGCACAAATTCCATATTCAGGGATCTCTCTGCCTGCAGAAGGTGGGCGGTGAAACCAGTTTAACCACCAATAACTAAAGAAAAACATTCTGGATCAGCACCATGAAGCAAAGGGTGTGTGTGTGTGTGTGTGTGTGTGTGTGTGTGTGTCTGACTTTATCAATATGAGAGCAGGTTGAAAAAGCTGCAAAAGGAGCTAAAACCTGCTGGAAATATTTGATAACATACAAAAACGGCACCAAAGTGACCAAACTTCACAAAATCCTTACATTTGAAGATTTTATCTCTCAACCCTGCAGTAAAACACCAAACCTGCATTTCCTAAAGTTTCAAAAAGTCTAAAAAAGTTTGAAGGATTTCATCTTCCTCCATGTGGTTTTCTACCCATATCTTTGCACAAATTTTTTTCATATTTTGTCCATAATTTCCTCATATTTTCTTTATCTTTCCCCATACATTCTCTATATTTTCTCCATGTTCTCTCTTTATTCTTTTCCTCCATATCTTCATGCTGATGAGTCAGTTATCAGCCTTTTCTTTGTTGGAGAACAAACTGAACCTGTCGTGTGGTTAAACCATCACTGGTCCAGTTTTATGGAGCCTCACAGTAACTTCATCAGATTATTCTCCTCTCCTGAATCCATTATGTAGATTTTGCATGAGGCCGTTTGGATAGATGCTCCTAAACCTGTTTCAGGTCCACATAAGGACAGCAGAGCCAAACCACCACCTTTGTCTTTTCACTGTTATGTTTTATTTGCCTTCATCTCAGTGAATTTATCTCCCTATTGACTCAGACGCAGAATTTGCGTTAAATATTGGAGTTCAGCTCTGGTATTTTGCCTTAACCTGGCCTCCCTTCCAGGAGTCTGTGTATTGCCTACAGAAGCTCATAGAAACTCTCATCAGCAGTGGCGGCTGGTGAAAAAGGATTTTGGTGGGGCTGGTGTGCCAATAGATTTCCCTGCCTAACCCAGTACATGCATTCAAGTTAAAAGTCGGAAAATTACTACAATTCCACAATAAGCATTTAATTCCCTTCTCAGAATCAGCAGTTTACATATACAGTTAACCATTTAAAGCTATATTAGGTATTATTTTGGAAAGGAACAGTATGAGATACAACACTCAGTTTCACTATTTGTCACCAAACACACAAAGTAAACACACAGGTGGTTAGCTTAACACAGTTACTTTAACACAGTTTTCCATCAGAACTCGTGATCTTTCATGTTTCTTTATGGTTCAGAGAGGTGTTCTAAGTCTGTCTGTCCAGACTGTGTCCACGTCAAATTACTCCGGTCACTCCGGATGCAGGAACAAAAAACTGCCGAGCAGGAGTGGGCATACTCATTGCCCCCCATCTCGGTGCCTGTACGTTGGGGTTTACCCCAGTGAACGAGAGGGTAGCATCCCTTCGCCTTCGGGTGGGGGGACGGGTCCTGACTGTCGTTTGTGCCTATGCGCCTAGCGGCAGCACAGAGTACCCACCCTTTTTGGAGTCCTTAGAGGGGGTACTGGAGGGTGCCCCCTCTGGGGACTCCCTCGTTTTGCTGGCGGACTTCATCGCTCACGTGGGCAACGACAGTGGGACCTGGAGGGGCGTGGCTGGGAGGAGTGGCCCCCCCAGCTTGAACCCGAGCGGTGTTCTGTTTTTGGACTTCTGTGCTCGGCACGGATTGTCCATAACGAACACCATGTTCAAACATAAGAGTGTCCATATGTGCACCAGGACACTCTAGGCCGCAGTTCAATGATCGACTTCGTTGTCGTTTCAGCTGATCTGCGGCCGCATGTTCTGGACACTCGGGTCAAGAGGGGGGCGGAGCTTTCCACCGACCACTACCTGGTGGTGAGTTGGCTCCGATGGTGGGGGAGGATGCCGGTGAGACCCGGGAGGCCCAAACGTGTTGTGAGGGTCTGCTGGGAGCGCCTGGCGGAGTCCCCTGTTAGGCGGAGCTTTAACTCCCACCTCCGGGAGAGCTTCGAACACGTTCCGGGGGAGGCGGGGGACATTGAGTCCGAGTGGGCCGTGTTCCGCGCCTCCATCAATGACGCGGCCTCTCGAAGCTGCGGTCGCAGGGCTGTCGGTGCCTGTTGTCATGGCAACCCTCGAACCCGCTGGTGGACACCTGCGGTGAGGGATGCCGTCAGGCTGAAGAAGGAGTCCTATCGGGCCTTTTTGGCCTGTGGGACTCCGGAGGCAGCCGATGGGTACCGGCAGTCCAAGCGACGTGCGGCTCGGGTGGTCGCCGAGGCAAAAACCCGGGCGTGGGAGGAGTTTGGGGAGGCCATGGAAAAAGACTTCCGTATGGC